CCTATCCCCTGTGTGCCTTTGCAAAGGGGAGAGCGCGACGTCGCTGACTGCCCCCCTTCCCCCCCTCCGCCCGGGTCCCGATTCGCACAGGATGGAGCCCAAGACGGTGCCCGCATCCACATCAGCATCTGGCGCCGCACCTGGTTCCGGAACGGCGCAGCCAGGCGGAGAGGCGACCGTCGGCGATGTCCAGCCCATGGAGGAGTAGTCGGTCCGTGCAGCCACGATTCGAATCTGTTGGAGCACATCACGAGTACACACGCTCGATGATGCCCCGTCGAAACCCTCGACAGCCCGCCCAGCGCAAAGCAATCAACCCATTTCGCCATTCGACCCCTGCCAGCCTGCCTCGCTGCCAGTTCACGCCGTCTTCGTGAAGGGTGGTATTTTAGCACGGGCTCGTCAACCAGATTGTGTACAGGGAAGAAGAAACGGCCCTTGCGCGGACCGAGGCGGGCGGTCGGACTGGTCCTGAACGAGCAGGCTCTTAGAGCGAGCGACGCTGCTTGCGCGCAGTCTCCTGAGCCCAGTATCTGTTAAAAGCGGGACGGGTAGGGAGCAAAAGGGGAAGCAGAGGGACAGGGCACGCGAGGATGGCAAGACACACGGTCAGACTCGTCGCGCTCCGACGGCAGTGCGACGGGATGCCAGGCGAGTCGCCAGATCTGAACTCACCCCTGTCCGCCGACGAGGCCGAGGATGCCGACGGTGACGGCGCTCAGCAGGCGACGGTCGGTGCGCTGCACCTGGTCCTTGTTTGTGTAGGCGTAGAAGCCGAGGCCGCCCAGCAGAGCGACGTTGACTGTGCGCACGGGCGGGAAAAGGGCCGAGGAGATATGTCGACAAGACGCGCATGTCAGTCAGCGTGTCGTCGAACACCGCTCCTGCCTGACTCTTTTTTGGGGGCCCAGCACGTTGCACTCACGGGCACCGAGGGCGGGAAGCCACATGTCCGGGTCGCTCGAGAATCGGTTCCAGAACGACTCAATCTCCTCGCCGGCCTCGCCCGCCGCCTTCTTGATCCTGCAGCACGCAGCGCCGTGCGCAAGGGTGAGAGAGAGGGTCGCATCGACGGTCAGATGTATGCTCCTGCGCTGGCCTCATTGCAGGCCTGCTCGCCCCGCCTGACTCTAAATCGGCGGCACTCACTTCTTGCCCTCCTCCTTGGCCCTCTTTCTGAGCTCGCGGGTGTCCTTCTCGACCTCCTTTTTGGCGTCTCCGGCGAGCTTCGAGGCGCGGTTGCCGGCGTCCTTGGCGAGGTTCTGGGCGTCCTTTGCGTACTGCTGGGCCTTTGAGCTGGCGTCGCTGGCGGCCTTGTCGGCCTCGTTGCCGAGCTGCTTTGCCTTGTCGCCGACGTCCTTTGCGGCCTTTTCGGCCTTGTCGCCGGCGTCCTTTGCGGTGGCGGCCGCCTTGTCCTTTGCCGCCTTTGCGTCGCGCTCGGCCTGGGCGCGCGCCTCGCGGGCCTCTGCGACGGCCTTTTCGTAGGCTTCCTGCGACTCGGTCTTGAGGTGCTCGAGGTCTGCGTCCGAGGGGATCACGTTGACCTTGCCCGAGTCGACGTCGGGGAGGTGGTTGTTGCTGCAGCGCGCGGCGGGACGACGGTGAACAGGCAGGGACGGCAAGGAGGGTCAGCACGCGTCGGCATTCAGAGTGTCCTAGAGAAGACATGGGTACGATGCCCAGAAGACGAGACGACCAACGTACACATCGCTGTGGTCGACGTTCTGGCCCTCGAGGAGGCCGGGGTCGGGCCGGGGCTGCTCAGACTCCGGAGGGGCGTTGTGGGCGGCGACGGAGGCGTACGACATGGCGGGCGCTGGATGGAAAGGAAAAGGGCGAGGAGGACGAAGGTCTAGTCTAAGGGCTGCTGCTGCTGGCTGTGCAGTTTGGTCGCGGCGAAGTGGTGCTGGTGGTGGATGAGAAGCAAGACTGAAGTGGATCGACGAGGTCGGGAGAGATGGCGGCGGTTGAGGCAGAAGGCGGGCCAGGCCGTCCAGGGATGGGGGCGACGGGTTGATAGCCGCCGTCGAGCCGAGGCCCAGGCCTGGCCAGGCTAGGCAGGACAAGGTTGGCCTTGCTTGCTTGCCTGCCTGCGAGATGAGTCGCGGCCAGCTTGAGGTGCACCCTGGCCTGGTCTGGCCTGGGGCTGCCCTGGCCTCTCTGTCGTGCCGTGCGCGCCTCGAGTGTCGTCATCTTGCCTGGCCTCGCGCGAGCAATCGGCGGTCAGGCCAGGTTTGGCAGGGTGGAGCCACCCAATCCGGATCCGAGGGACCCTGGGGCTGGCCTGGCTCGGCTGGCACGAAGAAGCTCGAAAGCCGTGGAGCTGCACAGGCTCTTGGGCGAGCCATTACCCGCATCCGTCCCGTGCCACCACCGCTTCCACCACCATCCTCATTGTCTCCACCCCTCACTCGCCACCTTGGCACAACAAGCGGCGCGCGATATCAAAAGAGGGGTTCGCGCTTTGCAACCCTTTCTTCCGTCCATCTTCGTTTTCTTTCTCGCTCGACGCTCGGTCAGTCGCAGGCCCGTCCGTCCATCATGGCCTTTGTCGCACCCGCGCTGCGCTGGCCCGATGCCGCGCTGCCCTACCTCCCGGCCAGCCTTAGGGACTCGACCATTCCGCCGCAGCACCTCTTCCTGGCCTCTGCCACCTTGGCCGTACTCCTCGTCTCGTTCCTGCTCACGCGCAGCCCGCGCCAGCTCGAGTCTGCCCACCTGGCCGCCACGACGGCATCGAGCGCCGACAAGCGCTCTCGCGGCAAGCAGCCCACCGTTATCCTCGTCGGCCTCTCTGACAGCGGCAAGACGGCTCTTTTCTCCGAGCTTGTCTACGGCGCCACCCCAGAGACCCTGCCCAGCCAGAGGGAGAGCCAGGGACTCGTCGAGCCTGCGCGCATCCTCCAGCCGGGCGACGCCGAGAGCGTCAAGCCCACCGTCCTCGTCGACCTTCCTGGACACCCGCGACTCAGGCCCAAGGTCGACGAGTACATCAACCAGGCCGACGGAATCGTCATCTGCGTCGACGCAATGGCCGCCACCAAGCCCGCCAACGCAAGGGTCGACAGGGACGCCAACGACGTCGCTGCTGTCGCCGAGTGAGTGCACGCCGTCTTCACGCCCGTTTGTACTAGGACAGGGGTCCCGCGCTATGCTCTGACACCCTCACTGTGTACACTTGCCCCGCGCACAGCCTGGTCCACAACACGCTCACCTCGCTCGCCAAGCAGCGCCTGCGCTCTAACAGCAGCAGCACCGCCGCGCTCTCGGCCCCTTCGGTCCTCGTCCTGTTTACGCGCTCCGACCTCTCTACGCTGCTTTCGGCGGCAAACGCTGACGCCAGCAAGGATCTCAAACGGCGGCAGCAGCTCCTGACGCGATGCCGCACCGCCGTCGAGACTGAGCTGGGCCAGCGTCGCGCCGGAATGGGCCTGGGCCGCCGCAGCGCCGGCGTGCGCATCGC